TAATAGTTTACCATTTAAGAGAGAATATCTTTCGACGCTTCGGGTCCATGCGGAAACGGGCTTTCTTCAAAAAATGACTTTTGCTCCCAGCCTTCATCAGGGCTTGAACCCTGGGTGAAGTCTTAGGAGGTAAAGGTGGCCGGTGTGATGTTGACCACATCACCCACCAAGTGACGATTGGTCTATAAAATATAGGCCTTGCAAGGAAAAGGGTCCTTTACCTTTTTTTGTTTAAGCTTTCGACACGATGCTATACAAACCATTCACCAGAGAGGAGAAGGATGTGAAGCACGAGGTAGTCCGAGATCCATATGGATAGACAATATCATAGAAAATTTACAAGCAGTACAATGTATCCATTGTTAAGGCGGCAAGAAACAGAATCTTAGATCTCACCCATGTCTTAAGACCACGCAGCCCCCCCCCCCCCCCAATATAAATCAAATAATGCAATAAATGCAATGATGCAATATCGGTCGTGAAATTCTATTCATTTAACCAATATACGACACAGTAACTGGGGTAAGAGGAGCCTGTCCTACTACTAGGCGCGTCCCCCAGGTGGCGGAAAGTAGAAAGGCCTCTAGATATATTTGTTAGCCACAAAAATATTGAATAAGTGGCCGTGGACCAAAACAGGTGATGGTCATTGAGAGGAGGCGAGTTAGTTGGTGGGACAGCTAACTCTATAATCTCTACGATATGGCCATCGGTGAGTGAGAGGCGCCATAACCTCCCCCTCCTGTTACCTTTCAGGGTAAGTCTCTTTAGAAATAGTCTGTTGAAGTCAAACCATATACAAACTGGCTGAAGGCAAGAGGAAACCACCACACCTGATGATGATGATGACACAGTACAGGAATTATATATTTTTGTTATTGTTTAGTTTTAAGTTACAGGCTTTAGAAAATTCGGAAGAAATCACAAAACAAATGGACTGATTTTATAAAGGATTACATTCTGTGCCACAACGATATTTCTAAAACTGCGTCTCCTCTCATAAATCAGGCACGACAAAATCTGTAGCACATGCAAGGAAGCTCATAAGTGTATACGACAGCTTCCCCATTGTCTAAGCTCGTAGGCGAACGTTGTACTTTCAGGTATCACCGTGTTTTTCTGAAAATATATGAAGTCTTAACGCTTGCAATTTTAACAGGCAAAAGTAATGCAGGGCAATAACCGCTTAAAATCTTTGCATTATCTGTTAATTCCCCTGACTAACGTCTGTGGCTTAGCGTTGCGAACGCGCTTCGTAATCCCAGCTGTGGGCGATTTGGAAACAGACCGCATTACAGTCATGCTCTGGTTGTATGCAATAATAGGTAATTAAGAACAAGGACATGAAAAATGGGCAAGAAAAAACTGAAACAGTGGTTCTTGGTCAAGTCATGTGTTAATGCTAACAACTACAACCCCCTCATGCTCACCAGTGACTAAGTGGACTTAAACTGCCATGTTGTTTACAAAGATTATATAGGAGATCTTGCACTCAAGAGGATGGCAAGAACAAGGCGGGAAGTTTAACTCAAATGTAAACAAGGCTGACAACTAATTTTTTTTTTTTTAAGAAGCTGAGATTATTAGTTGTATTAACAAGTCGGTTGAACATCGTTCACAGTTGTATTCTTCAGTCAGGGGCCGTGTAGGGGGATGCGTCTCCTCATGTCATGGTGTTCGCCTTGAGTGCTGGAGGTCCCAGGTTCAAGTCCCAGTGAAGACTGCGATTTTTTTCACGTGGACCTAGTAATTTTCCCTGGTCACTGGGTAGTATGATTTGACGCCCGTGTGTATTGTTGCGCAGTAAAAATCTTTGGCAGTTGGAGATCGAAATAGAGTAGCATAACAGCGATGCCTGGGCAAAATTATATTTAAAAAAAATGTAAAAATCTACCTAGTTTTTCATGATTCTCGTCGGTGCTACGAAGCTCGTGCAATGCGCCGAGATTCTTGAGTCAGAAGTAGAACGGAGCACTTATGGGTTACTGTCTTTTGCTGTGATGTTTATCCGTCGTCTAAACCTAAACCTAAAGGGGCCGTGAAAATGTCTGGTGGGCCATCAAACTGTTCTGCCTACTTATTTAACTGGATAAAGTAAGTAATTTTTATCTTCCAGGACTACAGTCTGTATGATTAACACCTTAACAATGAGAAATATTACACAGCACCAGTTTCTGACTGATACCAAGGGGTCATCATTACAGATGCGCTATCGGTTATCCAAGCCCTCAAAAGTAGCAAACTCCCTCACTTGAGATCTGAACCTGGCAAGTGGCTGTCCAAAAGTGTACTAAACTCCATTGGGTGCCTCCCCAGTATGGTATAACAAAAAACTAAACCGCATACAAATTTGCTCAGAAAGGGGCAGAATGTGAAAAGAAAAAGAACACAGTAACATACTTTAAAGCATTTGACAAAGTAAATGGTGCTGGCTTTAGTAGAGACGGCTCTTGTCTAGTCAATCTAGCAGTTTGTTTGGCAGATTTTGTAAATTGTGAGTTGACGACCCTGGCTCAGGCTACCAATGATGGGTTTTTACCCCCAGATCTGGGATTTTATTTGACGTCTTGGGTTCAAATTTTGATTACTGTTTTTTTTTTTTTTTACATATCCTTATATAAAAGTATGTAGAGGTTTCGTTTCGTAACTATACAATTTGTAGTTTTCAACAATCTGGGTTTTTATTTTGTTTTTTGTTGTTTGCTTATGTGTTGCTTGGGTTTTTTGGTTATTTTAGCTGTGTTTTTTTAAAAAAAAGTCATCTTGGCAGCCCTGTCTGCCTGTGGCGAGTCATAATTCAATTGATTAAACACCTTATGCTCGGACGGAACGTTGATGAAAAGGAAAAGACTAAATTGACACATTTAATTATTTATGTAACGGTTGTTTGCACGGCGCTCTGGCTTTATTTTTACTTGAATTTCTCTTTTTATTTTAATTTAACATTTTTGTCGAGTAGCTCTTGTCTCCTTTAGTTCTATATTAATTTGTTAACCGAGCTGTCGCCATTTAAAAGTGACAAGTTTCGAATCCAGTGTGACAGCACGTTTTTATTTGTAAATCTTTTTTGGGGTGGGATTTCTATATCTTCTTGTCTGTGTTTTTTTTCTTTTAGATGTACATCGCAAAAAATATGTGAAGGTGTTTCTCTTGATATTTTAATTACCTTGATAAAGGTCAATAAAGAAATAGTGCCCTCATTATGTTAAAATCCTTACTTACTGACAGAAGATCACTATTATTCAACTGTTAGTTTAAAATACACGGAGGAAATCGCAGTAAAACTCCCACATAGTGAATGTGTAGCATAAAGTCTACATTTATATTGGGAAATTTAAAAGAAAAAAGCTAACACCTTTGTTGTTATTATTAACTTGCTGTTTTGATCATTATTATTAGTAGTTTTGCTAGAGGGCCCTGTGGCGCAACGGTAGCGCGTCTGACTCCAGATCAGAAGGTTGCGTGTTCAAATCACGTCGGGGTCAGCTGTACTTTTTATGGTTTTTTTTCTTTGTTGTTTTTCTCCCATTTCTTGCTAGCAGCATTTTAAATCTCTTTTATTTAATGTAATAAACGATAAAAAATGGTAACGCATTGACAGTGAGCAAAGAAATAATAGAAAGATGGAAGGAGTATTTATGAGAAATGTACAAAAACTAAAAAAAAACATGCCAGATAGAGCCGATGAATTTGAAGTGACTGAGCCGAAACCTATATTAGAGGAAGTAAGAATGGCAATAAAGGCGTCTACCTTGAGTGCTGGAGGTCCCGGGTTCAAGCCCTGATGAAGGCTGGGATTTTTTTTAACGTGGACTTCTAGTAATTTCCTCTGGTCTCTGTGTAGTCAGATCGGACGCCCGTATATATTGTTTCGCACGTAATAAATCCATTGGCAGTTAGAAATCGAAAAAAAAAAAAAAAAAAAAAGTAGCCTAATGGCGCTGCCCGGGCAAAATTTGGAGTTGAAAATCTACCTAAAGTATTTCAGGATCCTCGCCGGTGTGACGGAGTTCGTGCACTTCGCTGAGATTCTTCGGACTATGGCTTGGGTCAGAAGTAGAATAGAGCACTTATGGTTTACTATCCTGATATCATGATGTTGATCCATCGTCTAAACCTAAAACATAAACTAAGAGGTCAGAAAATATGAATAAAAAGTATGTTTTTAATGTAGAAATCAGCTCTCACCTACCGCATTGGACTCGTGTCACAACACAGTTCTCATGTAAATCTGGTGTGGTCTCATCAGGCTGATACCAAGAGGCAATTTTCATAGGTGCCCCAGCTGAAATACTGAGTCCTGAAACTTTGTCCCTGGCGTATGAGAAATATTCGGGCTCAAAAATGTAGGAAGCAGTCCTAACTTCCTAACAATTTAATTTCTTAGCCAATGATTCCAAACATCTGGTTCATTTTCTGTAATTTACGACATTATAAATACTTCTTAAAAACCTCAGCAATAAATAAGCAATTAAGCAATCGAACTGGGTCTCTTGTGGTGTGGATATACAGATAGAAGATAAGGTTGTATTTCATTGACACAACAAGTTAGATAATAAGCCTTTGCTGATTCTAAACATGAAAATACATTTTTTTTATTTAAAAAAAAAAATGACTAATGAAATATTAAGACAAAATTAATATATATCTTTAAAAAGTCAAACTAAGGGGTAACTTTGAAAGTAGGCGAATAAAAGGTAAGCAGCGATATAAGAGGGTGGATAGCACTAGCTATCTAATAGACCTTTAGAGTTTGGGAGTCAGTGATCCATTTCAGCTAACTTTCATTATGGAGATGACACGTGATTGATTGATTTGAAGCAGTAAACCAACTCATTTAGGAAGACCAACCACCTAATTGCAGAAAGAAACGTTCACTGCGGCTCTATATTCAAGAATCGATACCGGCTTTTCCGTGAAGTGGGCAGACGACTGCGAACGGCGAAGCTTGGAATTCACAACTGATCTCACCAGTTCAGACAGAAACGAGATCCCGAGCTATGCAGTCGCCTCACTCGAAGATGACCCTGAAGGAGAAATTAGATTTCATAGACGAAGAAATAAGAAAATTACACTTATGTTGTTCTTTAGCTGGATATACTGAATCCGAAATAGAAAGTTTTGCTCAGCCGTTTTTTAAAAAGGACGTCAATCATCTGGGATCTGCCGGCTGGACGAGTTGGAAAGCATGGAAGAAAACTGCTGCAGCTTTGGTTGTGGTGATGCTTGTTCTGCCCTTTGTGTACTATCCAGCCTTTAGAGTGCTGTGTGGTTTGACCAGACTCGGAGGCAAGCAGGTAAGACTTCATGTTTTTGCTGTCCTCATCTCGTAATGTCACAATGTTAAGTTCAAAGAAACTCACGTTCTTTAGCGGCTTGAGCTATCCGATTATTTGTACTGGTGGCTTAACGTTCTTTCCCCAACCACGGGAGAAGTTCTGATTTTAAATATTTATTTAGACATTTAATTTTTTTTTAAATATATTATTATATTTGATTGCTATTCAGCACATTATTATTATTATCTATTATTATTATTGGGCACTTAAACAAAGCTTTGACCCCTTAAAGTCCCAGCTGCAGAAACAAACTGCAAGTGAGTTGAGCACTCCTTCCCACTTCAGTGCCTTCTCTGTGCAGCCGTGACTATTGCATAATGTGATCTGTGATCTCATGAATGTCTCCACTTAATTCCTCCACTCATAAAACTTAATTTTTTTCAGTTCTGCCTATCTCAAGGCGTTGAACTTTAAAGGAATAAATAACCTGATCTTTAGGTATTGAACAGAGACGCTCATCGCCACACAGCAAGGTCCTTTGCTCTCATTACGGTCTGCTTGAAAGAAACAGCCAGCTTTCCCGCCTCGTGTACTTTCATATTCAAAGATTCACTTATATTGTGTGCCGATCTTCGTGCTGGTCGGCTCCTGCCCTTTCTTCCTTGCACCATGCTTTCTGCTATTTTTTTTTTTTTCCAATCCGCCATTGCGTGTGATATGACGAAAAAAAAAAAAAGCTGATTTAAAAAGCTGCTGTTTATAAGCCAGTCTTCTTTACTGTTCGGATCTACAGAGACGCTATGTTGTGTTGTTGTTGTTGTTATCGATCCAGCGGCGCATGAGCTTTCGCCCTTTGGCCCAATGCCATGTAGTGGAATTTGCATGTTTTCACAAGCTGTTTTTTTTCCCTCCGTACAAGGTGTTCCACTTGTCTGGTCTCGCAGGGAGTAGCGTTCTTCTTGTCTCACTGAGTTTTGGGCACTCAAAGAGATGGTGTTCAACAGTTTCGTAGGGGTAGTTACATAGCTGGCACTCTGGGGAGTGTTGTGGCTGTATTCTGTTTAGGTGTCCATTGAGTGGAGTATGTTGCGTTCTAAGTCTGAAGATGGTGGCCTGGTCCCTTCTTGTTAGATGGTTAATGCTATCATTAGGATCAGGGCCAAACAGAGACGCTATGAGATAACATTTAGTTTAATAACTCATACAAAGGCTCAATACAACAAGTGTTATAACTAGCAGCAATTAGTTGAAGAACAATGTTCTATACTCCACACTTTGAGGAAAGGCAGGACGGATCTATAATCAGACTGTTAATGGCACAGTTTTTGAATGTTGAATTTAGAGTTGTCATCAGAGCACTTGGGCCACTCCCATAAGCCCTCGTCCCCATCTTCAGCAGCAAGCGGAGAGTTCTAATTTCAATGGTCCCAACAGCTGTCTGTTGTGCATCCGTCTTGCCTTTCACTTGAGTGTTCAACGTCGGCCAGATACCATGTTACTCCCAGTGCGCCATTCTCCTCAGAACGTAATGATCTATTTTTGCCTCCGCACTGTTTACCCCCTCTCAAAGGACTGTCACAACATCTAGCTTGTCATACATCAAATCACCGCCAAGTGATGCAGAACCAGCCAGTTTATCAGCCTGCTCGTTTCCCAACGCACCGGTATCACCTGTGGAAAATATCCAAAAGAACGCCAACTACCCGGGACCCCTGAAACGATGCTTGCCAGCCCGCATAGAGTATGCCTGTTCGTAGGACCATTGGTAGTGGAACCCTGCATTGGCTGCAGAAACGCGTATGGAAATTCCCCTAATGCGGTGATCTAAATTCTTAATTCAGCTCAACTCAGCTCTACAACAATATCCTGTTCATTCAATCCATCCAGGTTCATTTGGAATACAGAGCGTTTTTCTATTGCAGTAGTGATGTTATTAATGTCATGCGAGCTGCATATCGCAGAAAAGACCTCGACAACACTCAATATCATTGTCCTGGCTTGTAGACCAAGACCGGCTCCAGCTGACAGGTCATGCTGCTGACGTCACCGGGTCGGGCTAACGTTGCGCTAACGCAGCGGTTCTCAAACAAGAAATAAACTATTTTCGACAGTGGCGAGGGGAGACAACTTAAATTTTCACTTTTAAGTAACTACATGCCTTCTTTAATAATTTCAAATTTTTAGCCGATTTTTCTTGATTATTTACGCTGTACCCCTGGCATACACTCACGGCATTTCGGGATGCCTCGGCACCCAGTCTGAGAGCCGCTGCGTTAATGCATAGTTAGCCCGACCCGGGACGTCAGCATCACGGCCAGTGGGTGCAGCCTGGAGTAGCCAGACCTGAACTTTTCACCAAGGGCACAGGGAGTTTGATTAATCTACGGGTGTGTTCAGCCGTTTTACCCTATAAGAAGCAAAAGTTTGCTTTTGCTTTCTAAACGAGTCAACACTCATTACATTATCGAAATCAATGCAAATGCGACAGTAGTCACCATCTTCCCCCGCCCCTCTCCGCCCAAACCCACTATGAACTCTGTTTTGTTAGAATTATGAAAGTGCAAAATTTTAAGCGATAGACGAGTGCTTTAGTTAAAAACATAGTAAACTAATCCATCTACAAGTTTTTTAAAGGAGAGCGAATCAATTCAGTTTAGGGGCTGCATTCCAAATGTCTCGGTCCCTCTAAGCGGTTCCAAAACTACAAAGTCAACTCTTCCAACTTGGTTTGAAAAAAAAATTAAAGGAAGAAGAAGGCGAAGTGGAATCTCTAGAACATTTGCATTGAAGTTTTTATGATCTGTGATGATGAGCTGCTATGATCAGTATTTATTATTAATTATTATCAATTGTAATTAATATTAGCTTAAAAATTATTTGCCTCCCCGGCGGGGAATCGAACCCCGGTCTCCCGCGTGACAGGCGGGGATACTCACCACTATACTACCGAGGATGGTGACTATCCGCAAATTATAAAATTTATGACAGATGAAGCAAGAGGACACTAAACATTAATGAAAATGAAAACTTTGTTTCTCCTGGTAACACTGTTATTACATGTGGCGAGTGTGGGTTTAAGTATCAACGCTGTACAGACTGGGCTAGTGGATAATGACAAATCTGTCACTAACACGATTGCGTGACACAGGAGTAGAGTATAGTAAAGTATGCCGCCTTCGAAGCCGAGATAGGAGACATTACAACAAACCTCTCATGGGAACAAGTAGTGGAAGTACCTCGGGGTGGCTGCTGCATCGAAGGACTAAACACGCATGGAAATGCCCAATGTGCATTGACGTTGATTATCATGATTATGTTTTCGGTGCTAAGAATTATTTTATTTTGCTTCGTCTGATTCAAATGCTTTTGAAGAGCATTAATAATAAACATCAATCTTAATAATAATAGTGCTATTGACAGAGCACATCAACGAACGTTACATCCCCCCCCCCCCCGACACTTCACTGGGGTATAAGGTGGAAGAGAAGAAGAAGAAGAGAAGATCATTAAGCCTATGTCTTTTTTTCCGTAGCCGTGGTCGTGGAGTCAGGTCCTGTCGTAATCTGACTTTCAGGACAACAACAAAAAAGTTCTTGACTCCAAGGTCAACCCAGCCTTAAATAAGTACCAAGTTAAGTCCTGGGAAGTTAACAAAGCCTGTTTGATGTTCACCTCATCAACCACCGAGTGCAGATTGGTCGGTAAATATAGGTCTAGCCCTATATGCCCAATACACCTGGCGACACAGAAATATCCTTTAAATTACAAAAAAAAATTACTTTAGAAGTTCTAGGTTTTGATTTCTGTAGTGGACAGTATATATAGATATACACATACATATTACACACACACACCCACCCACCCCACACACACACCAGACAGACAGACAGACAGACAGACAGACAGACAGACAGACAGACAGACAGACAGACAGACAGACAGACAGACAGACAGACAGACAGACAGACAGACAGACAGACAGACAGACAGACAGACAGACAGACAGACAGACAGACAAACAGATAGACAGACAGACAGACAGACAGACAGACAGACAGACAGACAGACAGACAGACAGACAGACAGACAGACAGACAGACAGACAGACAGACAGACAGACAGACAGACAGACAGACAGACAGACATATAACCAGATAGTGAACGGCACCATCAGTATATGTACTCTGCGCTGGCTGCTGACGATGAGGACGGAGCACGCATGGCAATGTCCCGAGTACTGTGATGTCAATTCTCAACTCAACTCCACTTACCTCCAAATGCCTCGGTCCCCCTTAGTGGAAGGGCTGTTCGATCTTCTCTTCTTTCTGTTTACCGGTGGAAAGTCCTGGTTGTTCGTCCATGTGGACTTCGGTTTTGCACCAGGACCTGAGTTCTGCGTGTACATCCGGTTTAGTTGCATTGTGTGCAGTTCTTGTCCCCGCCTTCAGAGCAGATTTACTCCGACTTCGATGGAGGCTGTTCGATGATCGAGAGCTTTGTTCAAAGCAACTCCAAAGCTACACAATCAAATCTCTGTGTGGGGAAAAAAAAAAGGGGATTAAAGAAAGGAGGCGAAGTGGAATATCCATAACACTTGCTCTACTAAAGCTACGTAACGCACTATGATCGGTATTCAGTTTTAATATTAGCTTAAAAATTTTTGCCTCCCCGGCGGGGAATCGAACCCCGGTCTCCCGCGTGACAGGCGGGGATACTCACCACTATACTACCGAGGAAGGTGTTTACAATAAGTTATATTAATTTATAAAAGACGAAGCACGAGAACACCAAACTAAACATTAATGAAAATGAAAACAGTTTTCCCCAGGTAACACTGCATGCAATTACAGTTAAATATGGCGAGTGTTGGAAGAAGCATGGACAGAGTAGATATCATCAACGCTGTACAGACTGGGCTAGTGGATAATGGCAAATCTGACACTAACACGATTGCGTGACATAGGAGTTGAGTACGGTAAAGTATGCCGCATTCGAGGCCGAGATAGGAGACGTTACAA